CGAACATGGCATCTGCCTCGAGCTCCGAGTGCCGGGTGGTGATTCGATATGTCGATAGCTTAGCGTATCTATGGAGGCGAGCCGATCTATACTAAAGGGAGCTACCATCGCGAGATGGAGTGGGGACAAGCAGCTTCTGTTAGATTGGTGGCTGGGGATGGGCTCCACTTCCTTTATTACGATATTACTCTTGTATCCAAGAGAGGGGTTTCACCCCTCTCTGACAGATTGAACGAGAATCAAGAAAACAAGTCAATAACATCACAACGTTTGAATCCACACTTAATATGCTCACCCCATCGTACTTACGCGTATCCAACAGCTTCTTTCCCCACTCTGGACTCTTGGCGTTAACTCCATGTCAATACCCCACCCGCCCAGCGCTTGGACAAAGAGTGGATTGGTAGTTCTCACAACTCATCACAATGCATAATGCGAGAGACCATTGATGAAAGACGAATATCCTTATTCCTCCTTAAGTATTCTTGCTGAAAACGTGCCGCGTTTCCGCTTTTAGACCAATCAGAATCTTTAGATTTCTACCCCAATTGGTGGCTCAAAACGGGGCGCGTTATAATCTAGCGACATATAGCTGCAACTGACAACGCGTCGCATTGGTCTAGTCCTTTATACCAAATTGATTTATTTTGCTTCACATTACAAGTGGTAGACTTTGATTTTTGACTAGGAGTAGAACTAAATTTGCTAAAGTCACGAGCGGCGGGGTAGGCTTGACTTTTGCGTTTATGACTTGGCCTCGATTCCACGTTGAGATGCCATACACAGAATGGATTACGTATAGCTTCTGCTCAAATTTAGAAGTTCTAAGGAACTTCTTGCAGGCAATTCCGTACTGGAGACATTGATGAGATTTAGATGACCGGAAAAAAGGGCTGCATAGTATGAAGTCTGGGGTCAAAGTTATTCTAAAAGAGTATTCTGGCTGAGGCTAAATAAAGAGATTTTTGCGAGATTCAGTTAGTTCCGGCTTGATATGATTCCAGTCTTCATATCCCCAGATTGGACATGATTGGAACACGTCAAACTTTTTTTTACCCCGCTCCTTCCTTTCCCGGGCTTCCAGATATTCCCGCCTTGCTATCTTCAACATTTTTTGCGGCCTTACCAATTGTGAAAATTTCTTTCCAACTCTGCCAAACAATCAGGATCGCTTTGAATTTGATCAATAGCAATCCTCATGCTTGATAACCTGTCTTTACTCGCTACAATTCTCGCTTTTCGAGCCCTACATCTGGAGACAGTTCACCTCAAACAGGATTTTAGTTAGCACAAACAGGATGGGCCATACTGTTCACTTCGATTTCGACACCAGCGACCCCAGTTCTCCTACGCTTGCACAACTATGCGGGCTTCAAGTTCGATATCGGGGATCCAACATTAAGAATAATCATCTTGACCCAATTCGGAAATTGGCCAGCAAGTTGAAAGCGAACGATACTTCTCGTGAGAATACGGAGAAGCTCGGCAGTGGCTTTGGAGACCTTGCTGTCATTCTCTTGGAGCCTGGTGACAGAGAAGCCTTTTGCAAGTACAAGGATATCATTGAAGATCAATCCCATGCTTCAGCCTTGAGGATGGTGGATTGCGCCCTCCAACTTGCATTTGATGGCGAGCGATCTATTCATGACACTGTGGTTCTTGATTCAAAACCATTTCGCAGCAAAAAAGCCCAAGAATTCGAAGACCAGGAAACAAAAGCAGCGAAAGACAGACTGGCTCGCAATGCTGTGCAAGAATCTCTGTCACTTCTTCAACCCAAAGTCATTCTTGTCTGTCACTGCAAGTCGATGGCGGGAGGTATAAATGAGCCTGACAGCCAGACATCGTCAATAAAAAGAGCATGTGACGTGCGTCACGAGCAGCTTAATACAGGCCATCCGTACATACGTGTTTTCAGTTTTCACCCAGGATACGTATACAGGATGACAGAGTACGAAAAGTACGAGAAGAATATGCGGCAGAGCCTCTTCAACCTCACATTTCTAGTTGCGGCTAATATTCTAATTGGACGAGAAATAAATGGTCCAGGTATTTTGAATGTCAGGGACCGAGTCGTACTTGGTTATTTCATTCCTCCTCCGCCTCCTGAGTATGCCACTCCGGATCATGTTATTGAACAACTAAAGGTACTCGAGATTTACAGTGATGATGAACATCCGGAGGTGAGAGATAGTGATGCAGGATACGTGAAATTGTGTGCCACTAACAAATAGCAGTTTCGAAGGCTACTCGAAACTTACCGATCAGAAAGGTCTCGATGAACTACGTTTGACTTTGGCTCTTGAGCCCTAGTGCCGAAAATGTTTTCTCGCAGCTATCGCCTGGCTCGTAGCCCGACCGTTTCCGAAAGAACACCATTGTCTATCTCCTATCGAAGCGGAATAGATTGAGACAGACGCTCAGCTCATATAAATCAAGCTTTATCATCTGCCCATCTGCCATTCACAAGATATCGCCACCCTTTCCTGTTTTGAGCACAATAGGGGTCTTCAAACCCAGCTATTTGATGGGTATGTCTGTGCTACGACAGCACTCAGAAAGTCATTAGCTCCGGCATGCTCCTTGTGTTGCTTGTATAAGCTCTTTTCATCATAGGAACCAATTTCATGTCTTTGGTCGGGATCTGAAGATGTATTTGTTAATCAAATGGCAAAGATCTCTATAGTAATTTGGCTGTGAAAGGTTGGAAATTGAAGCCATTGGTTCCCTACTCGTACTGTCGTAATAACAAAGACAGGGTGTTGGTACGAGGTACGCCTTAGATGCTAATGACTTCCCAACAGATATATAAGTCCGCCCGCCATGATCTGAAGCATCTAAGTTACTCCTGAAATTTCCGCAACCAGAGACAATACCACCTCAAGGGGCCGCCTCGTGGCCTCACTCATACTTTACGTTCCTAATGCATCGAGGGATCGACGCAAGGTACTATATTCAATCTGTATGCATCAAGGATCCAAGCGAAGAAGGCATAGGGTCAGGGGAGTCCAGGTGCCGACCCTTCATCTCTGTTGGCACTCATTACGAGGATTAGACTTGGTCCTCCCATTGGGACTTATTTCCTTATCAAGGCATGGCCCCGTGCCACCAGGTGCCATAACAGACCACGTGAAGTTTTAACTAGAATTTCTGGATCCTATGACACGGGAAGTGGTCAAACACATTCATGTTACGGAGTTAGACTCAATGCTGTACATACTTTCATTATCCCCCCGGAGCATCGGTTCCTGAAATGCCAGTCGGGCTAGTGGTTTTTAATGCACAAGTACTTCACTTTTATGCTCCGGCTTTAATTCTGATAATGATGGTAAAAGAATTGGTAAATTAATTGGCGCAAGAGCCCAATCCTGAGAGTGTTTTTGAAATAATTTGGATTGTTCGCTCCTTTCGTGAGTAGCTCATTTTGTATCCATAGAACCCCGGAACTCATCCATAAACGTCTATTGACGTATCGGCCTCGTCGGAGTTTCAAGCTTTAGGCTATACAGTCTTCCCCAGATGAGAGTCTAATTCTCGTGATCTAGGCTGCAGATGTCTTCATCATTCTCCGGAACAACTTTGACATCTTCCAGATGGCAGGCTCGATCAGTCCCAAATTGTAAATTCTCATGCTGGTTGGACAAGTTTTTCAAGTTTGACTTCGATGCATTTTGTGCTTCGCTGTCTCGGCTGGTTCTTCCTCTTCGTGCAAGACGTTTATTCATAGGATTGGTCGTTGGTGTTCGAAAGTTATCCGGCATCGAGCGCAACCGTTGTACATCGCTGTAATAGATAAGAGATTGTCGAAAGTTGTCAGGCATTGGGCGTAGAACTAAAACATCATGGTCGCCCAAATGTTCGGGACAGCCATTCTGCATGGGCGCCAGGCTGTTGTTTTGACGGGTAGCGTAGTAAGAGTTGCTCATGCTGGTAGCGTCGAGTTGTTCCTTTAGCTTTTTGAGCCGCTCACTGGCGCCGCTATTGCACTGCTTGTGGATTCCCGAGTTATTTCCACTTCCAGTTTGATCCGTCTATTCCAGTCGACACTTCCTTCTCGGATGATAGACGTATGCGCCGTCTGAGTCTTGAAAGCTGTCAATTTTCTTCCTTGATCAAGCGCCGGGCAGGGCGGGGTAGTGAGACATGGGATGATCACTGTGACGCTGCGCGCCAGTTGTTGGCTGTAGGCCGTCAGTCACGAGTTGTGACGGAGCACTGACATTGGTTGCTGAACAGCTGGAATACGTAGTAGGCCCCGCATCCCCTCATAACATTATACCCTCTTGGCTCAGGTCGGCCCACTCTGGTGTAGATCCTCTAGCGACTACGTTGGTTCTATGATGCGACGACCAAGAACCTTATTGTTACTGCCGCTGCCGTGGCCAATGTTTGAACGGCGACGTTGTGGTCTCTTTCGATGAATAGTTCGATCAATCTGAGCATGAATTAGAACTCAAATTGCGGCGAGTAACAAGGAGTCTGTTCACGAAGCTCGAGTTGGAGAGCCCCTGCTGCGTCGCGTTCGAGACGGTCGAGGAATGCGGCGATAGCGTAAACCCATGTCTACAGGGCGCCGTTTTGAGCTAGAATCTGCGCAAAATGACAGAGAACGCTTTGGTAATAGCTACAGTGTAGAGAAGCGGGCCGGAAAATCTGAGAGCAGCGTATCCGCGATTACTCTTCAAAAATGAAATGCCTCTTTGGTACATAGATTCTTAAGACAACTGCGCTGCTGTTTAGTTGAGAAATGCAGCACAATGATGACATTCGTGCTTGGGCGGTGGAATTTTTGCCATTGATGGGATAAGAAGTACATAATGTATCACTAGTTTGGCACTCCTCAGAAGATGATGAACTTGACCATGATGACTCAGCATATGGCAGCGATCAGGCCGAGTTCAGCGGAGATACCTATCCAGAACTATGCATTGAAGCGGACGGAGGCCTCGATATTGCAGCCTTCGATAATTTCCTGGAGCTGCTCTATGAGGTTTGTCTTACTCTCTGTACAGAGACCTTCATTGCTGGGCAGCCCGGCTCCACGCTACTAGTTTACTTCAGCGGCATTCTTGGTTTTTCTAAAGACTGCCAGCACTTTTTGCTTGCACGGCAATACTGTCCACAACTATCTGGGCTCATTTATATACAGCGCCTATTGCTTCTAGAACGCGCATTGCCATTGAGGCCATATCACACTATTGGTATCCCACAACGGCCACATACGCAGCAACTCGAAAGGTTGAACGAAATTCGGGCGGATCATATGGTCCTAGGTTCACAATCTCCATTTGCTGAGCTAGTCAGTCTTCGAAACTTTGGTCGCATCATAGCTCGCACTGAGCCTCCTTCTATTCTTTTCGAGTGACGATGGGGAGACAGTTTCGAGCGGAAGCGTAAAATTAACTATGAATAAATCTCGCGAGCTTCCAGAGTAATTCACTTCTCGAGCGGAAGAATTATGTGGCAGTCTCACGTATGGTCTTGAACCTGAGATTGACTTAGCATCAGTCAAGGATGATATGGCGAACTCACAGAGCGGATATTGTTTTGTCAAGCATCCAGCAAACGGTCTTGAGTCTGCATATAAGGAATTACTAATCAGAGCCTATTCATCTAGCAAGGGTACCCTTGCCAGAGACGGCCATTGGAGGTGGCTTGAGGTTATGGCAGCAAGTCGCCCAACTGGAAAAGATGCTTGCTGGCGGAGTTTATATGGAGGGTGGTTCGGGTCCACGAGTACGTGAGCTTTTTGCACTTGAATGTGAGAATGGGCCATTCACCAGCTGTGGAATTTACGTCTGGGGTGGTTCAGTGGTATATGTCGCACGACACCACAAAGCGAAACGACAAACGAATCGCGAGTTTTATGTCGTTCGCTTCCTGCCAGCCAGACTAAGCCGGACTATGTACTTGTACCTTGTTTATATCCGGAGATTGGCCAGTTTATTGCGTCGAGAACAGGTTGGGTACTCGGAGGTCGCTCAGAAGGGCTCAGAGAAACGAAACGAACGGCTTCTCTTTCATGTGAATGGAAAGGCTTGGCCCACTTCTCGTCTTACAGAGATCTTGGTGAAGGCCACTTCAAAAATCTGGAACCAAGCTATCAACGTCCGTTTGTATCGCCAGCTTGCCATCGCTATTACAGAGAAGCACGTCCGTGAGGTACATACCCCATTCAATAGGTACGATGATCTGAGCAGCGTCGCAGATAGAAATGCCGTTTTTGCGTGGCAAAGCGGACATCGCCCATTGCAACGGGAGACCACTTATGGTCTTGACGGAGCCTATCCGTTTCGACTCCAACCGGCACTCTTGCGTGCTTCTGAGTGGGCTTCAACTCGTTGGCATGATTTTCTGCACCAACCAAGCAAAAGATGGTCGCTATCTGGAAGCCAAATGCCTATATCACTTCAAACATCAATGAAGCAGCGCAAGCGCAGTATTGCAAAGACTTCGCAGGATGCTCTGGCATACCTAGAGGAGACGAATTTAAATAAGCGACGCAAGGTAGCGAGCATATCTGACTCTTTAGTGGAGCGAAATCAAGAAGTTACTCTGGAGCTAGGACCGGAATGCGAGAGTGATGAGAGCTTCAGTTTGGCTAGTGACGGCTTCGGGGGTGTGAGCTCTCAACATCTCCAGGCACGAAGCGATTTGTGGATAGATAAGGTTCTCTGCGTGCTTCTTAAGCATCAAGTCCTTATATGTCTTCTTTGCAGGGCTGCTGTCAAACCAGATGGGGGCATAGTAAGCCATTTCCGGAGGGCCCACCAATTCAAAGGTGTCGAACTCCAACAAATCACGGCTTTCTGCGCCGGAAGGTCATTTCAAGATCCATTCACGGTGCCACTGCCAAAGAATGGGAGCAAACTTATCCCAGAGCTTCCAAAATGGAGGGCCTGCAGCTGCAAACACTGCAACTATATAACAATAAATCGCCAAAATATGTCAACTCACCTTACAAAACTTAAGCACCCAACTCAAGCGGATGGCAAGCCGGATTGGGTATATGTTGTCGTTCAAATGTTCTCGAGGGTTAGGTATATACGATTTCGGACTGTTGAAGAATGAGGTGTGACACATATTCATTCAATAAAGGTACACTAGACATAATAAAACAAAATGCTTTATTATGCAGAGAGATCATTAAGTTAGATAAATTGATACCTTACTATCTGTCTAGGTTAGATCTAGCAATAATAAGTATAAGAAGGTGCTGAAACCGGCCCAGGTAGAGCACCACTACCGCAACTGCCACAAAACTGTCGGGGAGCAGCTACAGGCGGTAATTCCATTCGCAGCATCGTTCTTACCGTCAGGGTGCTGCCCCCGGACGCTGCAGGACCCGACAGACGAGAACATGCAACTGCCTAGTCCTACAGTCTAAAATCACTTTACAGGGGATAGAATTGATTTTTGACCTAGGGTAGACTTGGATTTCTAATTCGTGCTTGGCTACACCTTCAAGCAAGACAACACTTCAACTTCAACGCAACGAAATCGTGTTCGTTCACGAATCAGAACTCCATCATTTCCTCATCATGTTGCTGGTGGAATCTGTTGATATCGCATAACGTGTCGAGATTCTTAGGCCTTGAGAACGGGTTAACCTGATAAGGCAAGTTAACACTCACATTAAAGGATAATTAGTCCAGAATAGGAAAACGTACCACATAACGCCATTCTGGACGTCGTTCACTTCAACCCTTGTACTACAGCAGGAACGCAGATGTGAGACGGAAAAAAGAGAGTTTTCGAGCTATTCAGACATACAGGTACCTAATTAAGCTATACAAGGTTTTAAGTTCGTGCTGTGGTCAAGTGATGATTTTCTCCTGGGTTCGACATACTCGGTCGTTGAAAATGAATTGATTGAATCGGGGAAAGATACATATGTGAATGAAAGAGGGACCATGTTTTCAATCGCCCGCCCGTTTTTTCCAATAACAGTACGTGATGGACCTTCTCATTGGCTGGTTCGTTCATTCGTCGCAAGCTTCGCAGATAGCTTTACTTTGGCGGCGCCAAGCGATATTGCCTCCTGAGAGCCTATGTGTAAATTAATATCTTGACGACGAGGAGTATGAGCTCGGCGACTGTGAAGATGGAGATGAGTATGAAGATGAAGACGGTGACGGAGCTGATGAGGAATATATCAACGAGTATAACACAGTCGCGACTGAGAACCATTTTGCTGAAAAGGATTCCAAGTTGCGATACGAGCAATGACGAAGATGATTTATCTGTTGATTCGCCGTTCTCTCTTCCATCTGGCCTTTGGTTGCACTTATCTGAGGCTATTTTCCAACTATCAATGATGTTCTGGACGTACCAAGAACCTACCCGGGATTTTTCTGCCTCCACCATCATTCACTACACAGCTGTATTGGGGATCCAAGGACCGTCTATTGCTTTTAATCTAGCCCATGGCTCCTCACCTAGACTAGCAGCACTCATGTGGATAGAACGGTTCCCGTTCTTTGAGTATGCCATCCCTGTTTACGCCTACAATACTCTTGACTTTGTTTGGCCTAGTCGGACAGCTCACCCGTCACAATTGGCGACGACAAAAAAAAAAAGTCGAGCGTCGTTGCTTTCAAGGCAAGTATATCGTATAGTTGGGCCAAGTCGAGTTTGCCTATTGGATTTTCACGGTCCTATCGACCCTGGCCGTGCTTGCTCTACCAATATATATATAACTTCGCTTTAGTCGTGTTCAGTAATTCGGTAGCCCTTCTTTGTACGGGCTGCTTATCTCGATGCAAATTCTTTTCTCACCTTCCCTAAACCACTGACTGAAGAATGGGATTTCTTTTGGAAATTTCTCCTTTTTCAGCGGTTCCAGACCTTCCAAAAGGCTCATTGACAGCAATTGGAAATGGCTCTCGCACCATAAGAACAATGCTTTCCCCTCCAAAGCCGGTTCTGTAAAGACACAGGGTCCTTGAGAAAAACTTCCTAGCCACTTATCAACCATATTTTGTATATGAAACTCATCGAAACCCTTGTTATCGGTGTTCGCTTCCATACATTCAAGACATGTTGCTAAGTCCATGCTCCACTCGGAAGGTACTGTCCCCTTCGTTAACCTTCCATCTTTGATTCTCCAATCGAACCAACCGATAACGCATCCTACACCACATGAATCACAAAGCAAAATTGACAAAGTAGTAAGAGGGATATCTGGACTAGTGACATAGTCAATACCGCTTTCCTCAGGGCGCAGGACATTGCCATCTTCCTCGATACTCGGAAATCTATGCAAAACTAAAGTTTGTTGAGTTGCCCAGCGGAGTATGCTATCATGTACTGTTGTTCCGCTGTTTGTGTATCCGTCGCTAGTGTCTGCAGAACTTTTGGTCAGGAGATTGGCAATATCGATGTCTGTCCAGAGTAGTTTGACCTCAGGTAGCTGCTGGTTTTCGGACGACCATGGCGTACTGGTCATTTCCTCCACCTGGCCAGTGCTGTCCTCGATCAAAGGATGAGTCCAAGTTGTTGTTTGGAAATGATATATGCCAGTGTCCGCGGATATTTCAGGCGCGCCACTAACCAACACGCAAAGCGGGACTTTTGAGGTTTGAATTGATCTTGGGAGGCGACTGCACAACAAAGCCTCCGATATTGTCTTGTCGTTGCAACAAAGCCCGAGCAAGAACAAGTTTCTGACGTGTAGGTAACAATTTATGTTCACCACACTGGCGTCCTGCAAATCCCTCATTACATGGAGGGATGACTTGTGAAACAACCGAGGGGCCGTTGCGGGGATGTCCTCATCAAGCTGTGCGCCATTCTTAATTTCCCTCCTAATGACCTCAATTGCTTCGAGTCGACCTTTAGAGTCCCAAAATTCCGAAGCCTTAGAGATAGCACGGTAAATGCTAGTTGAGTATCCGTTTTCTCTGCGGTCGACTTGTACCCAAACCATCATGCAAACGGTGAACAATTCTTTACATGAAATTCTCATGGATCGAAGATCTCGTATTGATGATGCTTTTGCAATATTGATCAGAATCTCTCGTGGAAGAGTAATTAGGTTTGAAGACTGTCGCAGCATTGTTCAAACACGTCGTTTGTAGGCTTTTAGTCGCCGTTCTGGGCTTCTCTCGAAGTTGATCTAGATACAAAAGCTCTGACGCAGGTCGGATCCTGAGCAAGGCTGTGCAGGGAACCAAACGATTATGAGGAGCGGGTCGCGACACTGCCGCAACGGTGTAATATTTTGAAGGTACAGTAGTTGTGTATTTGATATTGGCGAAGAAAAAAGTGAAATAGTGTAGTTATCTAGAAATGCGACCGAATAAATGGTTCCAGAAGGCGGTGAGTAGAAATGAGGAGTGGCAGAATTAGATACTTGAGCCAATCAAGACCAGCGAATATTCTACTGTACGCAGTCGTGGAGGTAATTCGACGAAATACAACAAATCTGGCCCGTGCACGTTGCCGGGTCGTCCCTGCACGCGTCATGTCCGCGTATTTCGTTAAATTACCAAAAAATGGTCTGTGCACGCATGACATCTCAAGCACTTCCCGTTAGACCCCTTTTTCAAAACATTATCCACTATAACAGGACGAAGGCAACAGAATCAGAATCCAGTGCATTCCTAAGGTACTAAACTAATGGCTAACACTAGCCTGCTCGATAATCTACAGCTCTTCTTCGATACCAACGCCCGTCTCCTGATCTGCACCAGAGAGAGCTGCAAATTCGCATTATCCAATGGCCCATCACGCGTAACAACACATCTACGCGATAAGCACAACATCTCTACAGAAGCTAGGAAAGGGTTGAATAAACTTCTGAAATCTTTATCCCCTGTACCCTTAGAACCTGATGATGCATCGCCCCGAGCCGACGGATCGCATGAGCACGACAAGCTGCGAGTCTATAAAGGCTTCGCCTGCATCAACTGCCAATTTCGCACCATCAATCTCCCGTTGACACGATGCCACCAGTCAAACCCGCCGGATGATTGCTGTAACCCTGGAGCTAGGTCTGCCCAACCCCGTCGCCGTCGCGATCTTGACCCGCAGTTTGAGTATGTCTATCTGCGAGTATAACCGAGAACATCCCCCCAGTGTGATAACGGCGGCGTCTCCAGCTCAATCGGCCGATACGATGGCATTTCCATTGCAGACGCCTTGGCTAGATCGAACCGGCTGGGACCGAACGTATAGCAGTAGAGGTCGCCGCGAAATGCTTACAGCCTTAACGCGGACCTTTATATCTCCAGGCGGACGGGATTATTACATCGGACACGGCCAGCAATGCGGCCTTGATGAAGACTTCGTTAGCTCAGGTGAAGATGAGGATAGGATTGCCTGCCTCGTTCGCCTAGTCCTACAGTCCAAAATCAATTGTTGTACAATTGATTTAATCTACTCCACTTTACAGGGGGTAGAATTGACTTTTGACAAGGGGTAGACTTGAATTTCGAAAAACGAACTAGCATTGGGGTAAGCTCGATTTTGGAAGGGGGTTGACATGGATTTCTGATTGGTGCTTGCTTACACGTTCAGGCAAAACAACACGTCAATAGCAGCGCGTCAAGTTCTGATTCTAGCTTGCCAGCACCTTTCGCGGCAAATGTAACAGCCAGCCGGCAATTACTATTGATTTTATTGAGAAATGATTCATCAGACCATGGCACTCAACCCTATGATGGAGCTTGAACCCAACTGTCACAATTTAATTAAAAAATATTATCTAATCAAGACTTTTCTATTATTATATCGTTCTTCTACTGGGAAATAGGGTAGACCAATCAACGCTCCTCAATAAACGCTCTACAAGGTGAGCTCAGTTATTTGTAGACAGCTAATCACACCCCTAAGCTTGACACTGGTCTCGGCTAGTCGTGCGGGGTCGGAAAAACTAGCTCGAGGACACGAACAACCTAGCATCTGAATTCTACTACTGATCAACCAAAGTCATCATAAGGCTGTATCTATCCAAGGTGACATACATCACTATGTCGCCCCCATCCATTCAATCTCGGTGGAAGATTGATGAGACCAGATGGAAATCAATGTGGGATGAGATTAGGAAAGAGAAAGTACAGCCTGATAATGTTCATGCTGTGGCAAGAGTGGCGTGTGAACAATTTGGAAGCACCCTCGCCATATGCGATGATACACTGAACAAGGTTAAAACTGCAGTTTCCGAGACGCCACAGCCAGTTACCGTACGATTCTTGGGAGTAACCGTGGTCCGTCAGCTCAATGACTCCGCGGCTAAGCTTGTCGAGAGCATAGAAGGACAGCGTTTCCTCGGACTAGCCGCAGCGGCCACCACTTTGTTCAGCTTATACGATGGCGCCAAGGCCTTACAGGCCATGTTAGAAAGCACAACATCTGATACGACAACATGTCCCCTGGCGCCAGAACTGAAAACTTTGCTAGGCAGCCTCCAGGGAAGGCTCTATCACGCCGGGTTCTCTGAATCTGTCATGAAATGGCAGATCAAGCTACAAAGAGACATTATTGCAGCTGAGGGTCACCCCGATGGCTCTATGAGTCTCTTCTCCCAATCGGCTCCCTCCCCAGAAATGGTGACCAAACTTGTCAACGTCTTCCGTCAATTAAGTGAGGATGACTCCGTTATCACGGGAGTAACAATCAAAGCCAGTGAGGCTGCTGCTTGGGTGGTTGCTTTCATAGAGTGGTGCCTGGGATCGCCACCATCAATATACATAGGGGGCTCTCAACAACCTCTTAGTCAGCTCGGTTCCGTGATTACACTTATCATTGCAAAGACCCCTCATGATCAACGGAAAGGGCTTGAAATTACCATTTACGAAACCCTGAACCATTATTATCAGCTTACCGCACCACCTTCTACCAAACCATTCTCTGGAATGGCCACAATCGGGAATTACGGCAAGTGGCTCTTGGAACGATTCGGGTTTAGAAGCGCATCGCTTGATTTCCTACATGAAGCTTTGAATCATGCCATTCCCCAAACTTTGGAAACTTTTCAATGGGCTGAGTTCGACTTCTCTGAGCAAGAAGAGCATCGTGCCATCTTGACCCTCACATCGACGCATGATTCTTACGCTCTCTACCCATTGCCAGACATACACAAGATAGCAGATGTGTACTTCAAGCTATTCGGCCTGGCTAAAACGCCAAAGTGGGCGAAAACTTGTGACGGCATACTCATTGCCGATCTTCCTTTAGTTTCTCAACACCTGAATTCCTTACGCAAGAACTGCCTTTGTTCTCGATGTGGTAGAGCTAAAGGGAGAAAGACTATCTGCAAGGAGGCTGAGTTTTACGAGCTTGTATCGTTTATCACTGTCGAAATTACTGTTTTGTCTTTGTTCCGCTCCCCAGACCTTTTACGTATAAAATTATCACGGGAGCATGAATCAGGTGGTTCACTGCAACAAGCCGTCTCCCGGCTGATCAAAACAGGAGATATAACCTTGGAGTCTACTGAAACTATGGACCTCCTGCAGTGGGCGAGGTCCATGGTAGGCCATAAAGTCGCTACGGGAGACAAGGGCCGCAGCACTATCGTATCATCTGGTCATGGCCAGGTTATTTACCCTAGCCTGTTCGAAGCATTGAACATCGAAAAGCATGGCTACTTGGGACTTACATCTCACCAAGGCATCCTTATTTATGAAGGAGCTTCTTACGAGACAGTCACTGCAGATAACGGGGATTCTACACAAGATGCGAGATGCGAGCTCCTTCAACTCAGCTCTTCCTGCCCTTCACAAGTCTCACCAGTCCCTTTGAATGCTTTTAATGACTTGAAAGTTTTCTGGAAAGTGGAAACACAGGATAACCGCAAACTTTCCATCGCGCTCTCCGTGCAATCTAGGGCTGGCCATCAATCGTTTGTCAGAATGAACCCTATGCTTTCTTTTTCCACATTGCAGAAAAGTCTTTTGATTGAGGGATGCCGAGGTCACGGTCAATGCAATACCCAACCAAGCTCTCTGTTTTGCTCGTATAGTAGCCCTATGGACAACCACAAGAAGGCTTGTGATTCAACTTCTGCCATAGATTTCGTTCCAGTAAGCGATTCAAATGATCTTCGTTTCGTCTCTCTTGTTTGTACAAGAGAGTCTGTCATCTTGAGAAAGGATGCGTGCTTGGCTTGCTGCCTGAACCTTTGTTATGAGGTTGGATATCATGTTCTTATTTTATAGATAGCTCATACAAGTTTTATTCCAGTAGGCAAATTCAACTCGATGTTCAAAGCCGCCAGCACATTTTCGGCCAAATTGAAATGAATCTGGCGCCGGGTTCCCTGTCCTCTGACTTGGTTGCTGTAACAGGTAGTCGAGAGGGCAAAAGTTGAGGTTGAGGTCTGATGCCGTTGAGTGTTTCATCGCTAAGTCTTGACCCTAACGCTAGTCCTATAGTCCAAAATCAGAAATGCGTCGCGATGTTTGCAGTAATCATTGTAGTAGCGTCGTCTGGGTTGGCACGGACGAAATTTATACAATGCGGTGGGATTCAGTTCAACCTTTGTACAGTAAGTGTTTCATTTAGTAAAGTTGGTGAGCTTTCTAAGTTTCCGATTGACATCTGCCAGTCACTCATGACTGATATAATTGTCTGAAATACCTTCCCTGGCCCAGTCCGTCCTGTCAATATCAGACAAGGTAACCTCATAGTCTTCGATTCGTCTTCTTTTGCAACCCCTGACGTCCATGTCGAACGAATCAACAATACTCTGACTAAACACCTGTGAATCTGAAGACCCTCTGTCTGGGCCATCTCGGGTAGACTGTGATCTCCCCTGCCCGCAATTATATAAAGACCAATTTAACAAATCGGTAGAAGTAGCAGTTTATGCGAAGGGGGTAACGAAGATGAAGCCGATATTTGATAGTCGTGGCATTGCACATTGCAGCATTGGTGGATATGAAGATTTTGAATTATGGGGGCCAGGTGACAATATTGAGCAATTAACGAAGAGACATCTTAAATCTCTAAACTTAGTTTAGATACTTCCTTCACTTGCGGTGGCTATTATGTTTTAGTCCATGTATATAACGCTTACATATATGACAAGAGAATAGCACTGAAAGCCTATGATTTAACCTTTGTCTCGTCTTTCTAGCTGTGAGAGCTACAAGACATAGGAAATATGTACCAGACAGGAAAACAATCTCAAAAATCAGACTTTTTCCAGATCATGTATGCGCCTTATGGCAAAAGAGCTAGTCACGGCGATCAGAAAAAGGCAAATTGCTTCGATTAGGACGAATTTGGAACTTTGAGGAAAAGCTAAACCCATGCTCTGCTATATTTATATGGGACACTGATGGTTCTGAAGAGACCATCGTCAAGAGGAATCAGTCCAACATCAATAAAAAAAGAGGCCATGTTACGACCCAACAGTCTGACACACGTGAGCCGTAAGTTCAATCGTCAGTCTGGTTTGTAAGTCGTGAGTTGGTTCCCGAGGTAGCTCACGATTCATGCAGGGAAGCTGGGCGTGAGTCGTAGGGTGATTGGTGGAGCTTATTTAGCACACGTGACATAGTCGCGGGGTCGTAACAACCCCACCGGGTACAGAATACATATAATACAGTTTCTCTCCTTTTCTATACCACATACTTTAGCAATTGACTATTGTTGTATAAATCATTGTGTGAGTTCAATCCTCGCGACACTCATTTAACCACAAGTTTCTTATATATACTTTCATTAGGATCTCTACCTACTTTCTCTCCGCGTTGGTTTCCTTCACGCGACGCCCGTTTCGCTGAGTCTTTTAATCGTCGATCTTACCTACCATCCTGCCCCTCTGTCTACCGTGCCTTCTCGTCTTCTTCCTCGAACAGGCGAGCACCTAGACCTCCCCTCATTCTCCATCCTCGCAGGTATCCATCACGTATCGAGCGTCGTCTAGAACATTGGGTCGAACAAAGACAGCGCGAGCGATAGGCTGAGCTTCATGCGTTGGCAATAAATTGGTCAGGGCATATATAAAGGAAGTGGTCTGACAAGTCAACAAGAAACCAACGAAGCGCGACAACTAAGGGAGTTTATTCAAGGTGCACGTCGATTTATTCTTTCTTACAAAGGACCTACCGAAATCGCTCCATTGCAGGTTTATACGTATGCACTCGTACTGAATTCTGAGCGCACCCTAATCGGAAAGCTCTTCATGAAGGAAGACCCAAGCCGGATAACATTGAAAGCAAAAATGGAAGGGGACTTGAGCGCTGTTTTACCAACACTGGAAGGCCATACTGAATCGGTGTACCTAGTGGTATTCTCGCCAGATGGACAGCGTCTGGTGTCTGTCTCATACGATAAGACGGTCAAGATCTGGGATACAGGAACGGGCACTTGTCTCAAGACACTCGAGGGCCATACTAACTCCGTGACGTCAGCAGTATTCTCGCCAGATGGCCGGCGTCTGGCATCTAGCTCACGTGATACAACGGTCAAGATCTGGGATACAGGAACGGGCACTTGTCTCAAGACACTAGAGGACCATACTGAAGCGGTGTTTTCAGTAGTATTCTCGCCAGATGGCCGGCGTCTGGCTTCTGGCTCACTCGATACGACGGTCAGGATCTGGGATATAGGAACGGATGCGCGCTATTTGCCGGTTTCCTTTACCAAGCTTTTACTTCACCGTATTGGAAGTGCCTAGTGCTCCAGTCCAAAATCAACTGTTGTACAATTGATTTAATTTACCCCACTTTTCAGAGGGTAGAATTGATTTTTGACAAGGGCTTGGCTACACGTTAAGAGCAGCGCGTCAAGTTCTGATTCTAGTTTGCCAGTACCTTTCACAACAAACCTACATGTAAATTACGCCGCATTATTCAATTTTCGTCCGTGTCAACCCAGACCGCCTTACTACTACTACTACTACTACTGTACGCAGTCGTGGTAATTCGACGAAATACAACAAATCTAGTCCGTGCACGTTGCCGGGTCGTCCGTGCACGCGTGATATCCCTAGCCCATCCGGTAAGACATTCATTCCATCACTCTCGCAAACACCGCGAGAACGCCAAGGCACTCCTTATGTACCAGGAGCCAATCCTATCCTGGTTGCGCGGTGGATTCAGCTGCGAATCCATTTGAAATTCACAGTAAAAAACGCGCACTAATAAAATAACAGCCTGAATCCATTTGACCGAAACGGATTCACGCAATTACAATATTCCGGCGGCACGGTGATATGACACCCTGTCAGGTCACTTCCAACCTTTGTTCAGTAAAATGCATTTCGAGTACATGCGTCAATTCAYTACGACGAGGATATATCAAATTTTTATTTTTAGCAAGAGAAGTTTAGTAATACGGCGTCGCGGCCAGTTTGAAGTTTGGTTGATTTGGTCAACTATAGTTGATATTGACCGGGAACAGGCGATTTCTGTGCTCCAAAGCTTGAGATAAGGAGTCGCTCAGAAAACTGAACGTACGAAGATTCGTTAGTATAGCGTTGTAGCTCATATCGATCAAGGTAGGGACTCGCTAGCGGAACATGTTAGTATGTAAAGTAATTTCAATGCTTTGAGACGCATTCAAATACGTGAATTCAGCCTGCGTTATATAATGCTGACGTGACGCCGCGTCATATAATGCGGGGTACCCACGACCATCAACAACACAACAGTAGTCTGCCTTGTCAACGACTCCAGAAGGCAAATTCGACTTGGGGTTAAAAGCCACCAGCACATTTCTCGGCTAAATTAAATTACGGGCCCCTTTCTAAGGCTCGAATTAGTATTCCGAGCCAAATTTATTCAATTTTGATTAATATTGTAGCCGTGACATGTCATCCAACATAGCGAAGGTTGGACTCTCGATCAAGCGTCACATTTCCTATTATAGAATAGTGAAGTTTGTCTGTCAAGCGTTACATTTCCTATTATGGATTAGTAGATTCCATCAGTCAGCTTAGTCATGCTTGCAGGGTCACATGCCAATGCTCAACCTGATGATAATTTGGGAGCTGATAAACGAGCTGACTAGCTTCAGTTATACCTGAGATGGAATTTTTTAAAAGCATAACTTATATAGAGTCGAGAAATCCTATCTCTTACTTATTCAGCCCYAAATTCAACTATCAGCTGTTTATTTATAACTCAAGAATAAAGCCAATAGTATGTTGGTAGTTAAGTCGCTTAAGAAAGACAGATTCGTACTAAAATGAATTATATAGGGTAACAAAAACAAGGCGCATTCAGATAAAGAGACCGTGTTTTCGCGAGACGCGTTACATCACCTAAAATAGCTAGCGCCAACTTAATAGCGCGTCTCTCAATATGCCTCCAAATACCGGAATTTTTATATATAACTCCTCTACACCTGCATTATCTTAAAACAGAGTCTCTTAATTACCAAATATCACTTATCTCGCTTATCTGGACTGCTCAGGACAGTTATACGATAAGAGTAGCAATGAAGGTTCGATTTGTTGGCACAAGAAAACAAGATAGCGCTACGCGACGTCGCCGAGCCCTACAAGCAAATCGTACACGAAACTACCGGCAGCGCCAGAAGGCAAGGGAGAAAACTGCCGCAATAAATTATCAGGGCGAGCAATTGTCAGACGCAGTTGACTCGGTGGCAGAGAACGAAGCAACAGGACCCGAGAGAGATTCACCCCTCCAGAATGAGGAGATTGAAGAAGATGGTACCTTTGCCTGCGAGAATTTTACTATCTCCATTCAGGAAGTTGATGATTCCACAATCAGCACTACCGAGGTAGATCCATACTATGAGGAGGAAATAGTTGACACCTCCCCCACTGAAGAAGACGAATGTCAAAGACAGCCCCAAAGCCCACAAAACCATATTGGGGAATCAGCCGACCTGGCTACTAACGATGCCAACACTGATGTAGAATATGCTACACAGAAGTTTATTCAGCAGTTTCTCGCTGGTATACATGGCTGTAGTGCCCAGAGCCATCGAGAATCCCTGATTGCTCACATCGAAGCTGAGGGACCAGAAAATCACCATAGACTTGATAGATTAGTTGCCCCTGATATACCCCATACACTTGATAAAGAGTATATTCTCGCCGCTGAAACTGGCGACCAGACAACGGAGCTTAGTCCGGATCAATGGCGGGCATTATTTACCGGTTCCACAACCCAAGGCTCAGATAATAAACCCAAGCAGGTTTGCCTTCACGTCGAGCAGGCCCCTCAGACTCCACCTGGTATTTCATTCGATGTCGATAGCATCTTGGGGTTTGTGGATTCTCCGGCAGTTGCAACTCATGGAATTCGGTTTTATTCCGCTCCTCAGTATGGTCAGAATATCTCCACCGACGTCCACCTGACCTTGGGTCGTGCGGATCCAGATTCGGAGCGTCCCCGGTTGATTCCGTCGCGACTGAGAGACGTGCCGCATTTCATCTTCGCGAGGACCGAAGGCGCTGATTTCATCACATTTCACTTGTTCTTTCCGCATTTACCATGCTCCCATGACTTCAATAGGTTGACTGATGAGCAGTTCTCACGGTGGTTCGATGATATCTTCTATCCCGCTGTCCGTCAGGTCTACGATATCGATAGACTTCAGCACTTGCCAGCAAGTTATCGTCACGCATTGGCTACTTGCCGAGCTCCTCAGAGAGAGAATCGTCTGCTCGAGACCTCGAACTACCAGGCCCAACTACAGATGTCCTACTTTCTGTCACCGCAAGGTTTGCAGCAACTGTGGAACCATATTCTCGCAGCAGTATGCCAACCGGGGTTGCAAGATTTTCGTGATCCAGAGCTATTAAT